ACAAAATAAAACTTTAAACGGCTATAACAAAAAAACTAGTCATGATCAAGCTTTGTGCCTATGGACACTTTTGATCAGTGGGTCAAGAACTATAACATATTAAAATTTCAGCCAATTTCACCGAGGGCCAAAATCCTATGATTTTGTGCGGGGTCCGTTTTATATTTATCTTTAATGCTTGTAATTTTTAATGCTTATTTATTTTTAATGCTTTCAGATCTTATTAACTGTGCCAATGTCTGTCGTAACTACAGAGGCATCTTTCTCAAAATTAAAAATTATATAGAATTGTGAAATATAATGACGCAGGCGTGGTCACGCAATTTAGTTATGATATCAACTGAAAAATAATTGGTGAACAGTTTTGATTATGTAATCAGTCTTGACAGTCCTACAAATTGAAGACGTAATCGGAATATTTAAAAAAAATAATTTCGATATTGGTAGTATTATATGTAAATGTTTAACTGTAGTAATTCTATTCTTGCCAGTGCTTTATGTAAGTATTCTATCACTAGTATAGTACTATGCATTAGTACTTCCAATATTTATATGAATCATTAAACAATATTTTATCATTGCAACTTCAAGCATGAAATACTTGTAATCATTTTGGATCTCTGTAATTGAATGCCTACAAATTACTAACAACGGTGCTTTTAATATTCAAAATTAGTAATTAAATACTAGTTTATCAGTATTAAATTTTTACAAGGGTGCGGCCCGCGCGCCGAGCTAGCAAAATGGACGTACGCTTGGCTTCGCTTGTCAGGCCATTCCCACTCTCCACGGCTCGAACCAGTGTTGTTAGACGGGACGGATTTCTGGCGCATGCGCATTCAATTACGTTTACACGGCAGCGATTAATCGGGTTTAGTAACATCCGTAGTTATAACTCTCGAAATGTGTATCCATTTACACGGAGCGGTTTTTATTTATCCTACCGATGTTATAACTTCTGATTAAAGTCTCCCATGATATCAACTTAAGAAAATTAAAAGATTAATATCGATGTTATTAAACCCGATTAAGAGCGGCCGTGTAAACGTAAAAGAAATAATTTTTGGTAAATCATCAATCATGGAAATCATCAAATCAGTTATTACAAGATTCATCTTGAATTTTGAATATATAATAACACAATCAACAGTACAAATATTAAATGTACTAAGTAAGCGACGATGTTTAAATGAGGTTACATTACATTTTTTTAATGTTTCTCCACCAAACCATTTATTTGACGTCGGATTTACTTTACAATGTAAACGACAAAGAATAATATGGATGAAAAAAAGAAGTAGTAACTGGTGGGAGCGAATAGTTAATGATTATTTTAAAGAAGAGGATTGGTTAGAAACATTTCGTATGACAAAACCTACTTTTCAGTGGTTGTGCGATGAATTACGAGGTGAACTCATTCCAAAAGAAAATCAATTAGGGTTTCGAGAACCATTATCAGTGGAAAAACAAGTCGCCGTATGTTTATATTTTTTAGCCAGTTGTTGTGAATACCGTATTGTAGGAAACATTTTTGGAATTCATAAATCTACTGTATGGAAGTGTGTCCACAAAGTAGTTAATGCAATTAACGCAAAACTTATGTATATGATAACTATGCCTGATGATAACGAATGCCAACAAATAGCAGCAAGCTTTGAAAAAAAACAAATCTACCACAAATAATAGGAGCAATCGATGGAATCCATATTTCAATTCTTCCTCCTAGCGATGGTTATAGAGACTTTATAAATCGTAAAGGATGGCCTTCTATAATATTACAAGCAGTTGTTGACGATAATTTGAGGTAAAAATTAAATACAGATTAGTGCAATATATTTTTTAATTTCAATGCAGATTGATTCTTAACATATTTTATTTGATTTTAATATTTCAATATATTTAATACTTCCAGATTTCGTAATATTTTTTGTGGTACACCAGGAGCATCTCATGATGCAGCTGTTTTTCAATCTTTAAATTTATATAAAAATTTCAATTTGTTGATTCCACAGGTTAGTACAATTTTTAAAAATTAGTAATTGTTTATAAAAATCATCTAATTTGTAACAACTTTTTAGCGAAACTCAATACTTTCAAATGTACCGATTCCATATTTTATTGTGAGTGATCCTGCTTATCCATTACTTCCATGGCTCATAAAAGGATATACTAAAAGCAATCGATTAACAGCTGAAGAGGATAATTTTAACGTACATCTGAATTCCGGACGAGTGTATATTGAAATAGCTTTTGGAAGATTGAAAGCAAGGTGGCGACGACTTCTTAAACGCATGGATATACACTATTCTTACGCATCTCATATCATATCAGTCTGCTGCATTTTACATAATATTGTTGAAGAACGTAAAGAAAAATTTTTACCTGCATGGGAATGTTTAATAAATCAATTAAATATCGAAACTCAACAACCACAAGCATTTGTAACACGCAACTTAGGTAATATTACTGCAAGTACAATAAGAGATACACTTAAAAATTATTTAGCAGAAAATTTTGCTTTACGTTTATTTCAACTTTAAATTATTTCTATCTATTATAATTCTATATTAAGTATATTATGTATGTATATTCTCTCTACATTTGCAATTAATTGAATTGGGAATGTCATATCAAAATTTGTTGTTTTCATAGTATGATATTTAAGGGTTAATTATGAAAGTATATTTGTCTAGGATTCAGTAAAAAGTAAAAATACATTATCTATAAGTACACATAAAATATTTATTTAGAAAATATTTGAATAAAATGTATTTTTTAATCGTACAATATAATAAATTGTTCAAAAATATACTTTTGTAAATGTACTACGTATTTCCAAGTTATATAAAAAATTTTAATTTAAAAAATGTATGTTAATCGTACAACACAACAGAAATTTACTTTACTAAAACTTAATTTTTTTGTCCTTAATAATTTTAATGTTATACAATTTATTTCCAAGTTATATAAAATAATTAAATTAAAAAAACATGTTAATCGAACAACACAATAAAAATGTACTTTGCTTAAACTAGTTATTTTTCCTTCAACATTTTTTGTGTGACGTATTTTCCAAGTAACATAAAATATATTCAAAAAATAAAAAAATTCTGTTGCATAACACAATAGAAAAGTATTTTGCTTAAACTTAGTCATTTTTTCTTCAACATTTGTTAGCGTGACGTATTTTCTAAGTTATATAAAATATTTGAAAAAATAACAAAATATATTTTAATTAACACAACAAAACAGAAATATACTTTGGTAAAACTTTTTCCATAATATTTTTTAATGGAATGTATTTTTGAAGTCTTTAGTATTCGTTCACTCATAATTGTTAGAATTAGTGGACTTTACTGCACTTTGTTATCTATTTTTTGCAATTTTATAGTGTTTTCCTGTTCGTTTACACAAGGTTTCAAATTAACAATTACCTTTGGTGCAGTATTAGATGGACGAAAGGTTTCAATATGTGGGCGTAATGATGAAATAGAAGAATTGAAAAATTGAGGAATCATTAAATTATTTAGAGGAGTAGAAGTAACCTGATTGTGAATGGGATTAGCATTTTGGAAAATATCCCTTAAACCATTTAAAAATTGATTAGTTGTATCCTGAAGAATATTTCTTTGGCTTTGTAACATACTATCGACTATCTCTTTTTGTATTTTTTGGTCCGATTCTATTAAACTTTTAACATAATCTTGTGTCTTTTTCATAGTTTTGGCTTGAATCTCTTCATAATTCTTATTTAATTTGTCAGCGTACTTTATAAGAGCACTGTCATACGTTCTCTTTCTGCTCTTTTCTTTAATATTAGACATTTTTGATAATTTAGTTAATGAGTTTTCTACAACAGATTCTTCTGATGTTGAGTCTAAATTCGAAGAACATCCAGGAACAGATACATCTTGAACATCTGTAGAAGCTAAAAATAAGAAAAATAAATCGTTTATCATTGAAAAGTGATTTGATTACATTATATAATGACAATTCTATATAATTACGTTTTTCATTCTCCATTTCTTATTCTTGTGATTACTACCGACCATCAATTCAAAATACCACAATTTTCTTTCTTTAACGTCTTCTGAAATTAATAAAGCTTTCCAATAAGAAATTCCGATGTAATGGCATGGCATGAATATCATTAAACTCGTAGTATTTAGGTTGGCAATACAAGTGTAACAACCGCTCCTTGCGTTTACACGGTATTCTAAAACCGGTTTTATAAGTCTACACTTCTTTACTATCAGATGTAGAGTAACAACTACTGATGTTATAACACCAACGTTAATCACCATTTACACGATATTTAACGTTAGTAGTTATAACTACTGTTGCTACTAAATCTGCCGTGTAAACGTAGTCTAGGCTCAGTAACGTACCGATCACTAGTAAATAGGAGATTATTAGTCGCCTGTGTAAAATTTTTTCAAAAATGTTACAAATTTTAATATATTTGACATATTTGACATATGTATACATA